TAAGTGAAGCTGAAATTTGAAAAAATAAAAGAAAGAATGCATGCTAATTATCAGACCAGAAGTCCCACTTGTAGAATATTGAGCAATTTGTGTGAAGTGGGGAAGATGAAAGAAGTCAGAATTTGAAACGGAAGAATGAAGAAAAGAAATAAAAATGAAGTTAAGATAAGAAGTAATCTGGAATCAGAAAGCACTACGCTAAGTAATTACTAGTCTGTTTATGTGTCCCTGTATATTTTGCTAAACATGCATGCATTATTTGTTTAATAGAAGAAATATATACAGGGTAAAGAAGTGCCTTCCAGGGGAAACGTTTAAATTAGGTAATTTTAATTTTAACTTCTTAGTCAACTGACTGAAATGCAACTTTAAAAAAAATAACCCTTTGTAGTCAAATAGAAGGCAGGAATGAGCTCTCCAATTTGGGTAACAGCCGGCTTCATGTTGTCTCCTGGAATTTTCGTCTCTGACATTGCTGGTCCTGGGGCGTGAGTACTTCCAGAATTGAAGTAGGCGGTCTGTGCCACCCTCTCTGGACTCAATGTACTGACCCCCTATCCTTCAGTACAGATCAGTATAAGTAGAATGTTGTAAGTCTGTCAGTTTTCCTAAAGAATGTTGCTAGGATGGTTATAGAACCGAACCCCCAAAATCCATTGGACAGGATAGTTCCTTTTGGCATTTATGAAAAAATTAATTTTTTTTTAGATGGCAATAGTGGAAAACTATGACCACTTAGGCCCTAACTTTAAGATGCATGTGTGCTAAACTCACAAGATGAGTCTTAATTCTGTTTAATGCTTATTCCAGCTGAATGACTGGTGTTAATGCTAAAAAGTTGTAGGGGCTTCCCTTAGAATGAGATAGGTCGCATAAGTGAACAGGATACCTAACTCAACAGTGGCAGTAACAGTAAGTGTCTTATTCCCTTTTCTCATTTTCTGCTATTAACAACTTAACTGTTAAAATGGTGTGAGAGATAACAGATCATAAAGTAACTTTGTTTCTGGTTCTCTACTCTTAACCACTTACTGTAAAAATAGACCCCAAAGTTCTGTCATTTCCCTTTCTGTATGCTTGTTTTAACTGAATAGAAGAGTCAAATGATTGGTGCAGTGTTGTTACTTTCAGTTGGATGGGGAAAGTTCATGTGTCAAAATAATACCCAGTAGTAGGCAACCAAGAGATAGCTTCTCCCCTATCGGGAAAACCAAGGCTATCACTTCTCCCTGAAATTAAGATAGCCTGAACTTTGAGAGTTTTTGAACCTTAAAACTCTTGGGGCAGTGTCTTAAATGACTTTTTAGACATTCATTTTCTGATACTTCAGGGCCGATTTGTGTGAAATTTGTGCTTTTTCAATTCTGTATCTTGCAAGCAGAAGATTACACCCATCTTCTATCATTTGCCCTGATTATTTTGTAGAACTTGCCACATATAAACTAATAACATTAAATTGGTAGTGTTAGTTTTGCATTCTGAATTACTTACAGATTAGACTGAGGCAAGTGATGTGAATGGATGTTGTATTTTTATTCAAGCTCATTGATTCTTTTATTAGGAGACCTGAAAAGTCCTTGGGGTCTGAAAGAAAGGATCTGTTAGTCATGTAAGGAGAAGAAGCAGTTTGGAGTTTGATTATATGGCAAAAGCTGGAAAGATGTAAAGCAAAAGTAAACATTGATGGTAGTGGACCATCTTATCCATTCAGGTTTTTACCCCTTTGGCCAAAGCATCTTTGAGTCTGAGAGTGCCTCTCTCCACCTCCTGCCTGGGTAGTAGGGGGAAAACAGACTTCTTGCCCTGGGGCAAGTGTAAGGTACATGCCCTCAGGATGGCTGATAAATGACAGGGTGGGGAGGTGGGGTCAGAGAAGGTTACAGAAAACAAGGTTTCAGGAAAATGACTGTTGAAAAAACCAGATAAGTAAGAAGCATAAAACTTGAAATTCAAGTCAGTGAGACTTAAATAAGCATCACACATATGTATGGTGTTTTTAAGAAATACAGATGCCCAACTCCAGACCTACTAAAATAAGTTCTAGTTGGGGATCTATTTTTAAATGTTCTGTAGGTTTACTACATATCTGTAAGAGCCTTCGTTGAAAATCTACTTTATTGCATCTAGTTTTTAAAATATGTGAGAAACCTAGCAATTGGATGGTTATTCCTACTTCTTTCATCTCTTTCAAAAAGTTTTATTAAGATTGTCATCCTCAGAATAGGGAGATGCAGGTATTTTGTTGGAAGGCTGAGTTTATTTTTCCCCCGATGTGTTCTCTACTGATTGTATATTAGTACATGACTAAGATTCAGTTTGTAAGAACTTGATTCCATGTGTGGTTTTCAGGGAATTTTTGGTTGTGTCATTCATACTGACTTTACATTTATGATCCTTTTTCTTGAGGTATTGGTGTTGAGAGTAGTGCTTCTTTTGGTAGGGTTTTAATTGTGTTAGCATTGAAGAGTTTTGTGAGCCCTGAAAGTGGTCTTTGAATTTTCTTTGTGTTTAGGGGCTTTTCTAGTTGGTTTTACAGATTTAAACATGGACCAAGGTTTAAAGTTAACTTTATGGTTTTAGATGTGGCCTTCTAAACAGTCTAAATATCCTTGCATATATTTCCAAACCAGCTAATAGCCAACATAATTGCAAAAGGGTTTATTTAACTTTAAGACTCTCTCTAATATGAAAGGTAGGAGGTAGAGACAGTGTTTCTGTGTTAGCCTAACAAGTGTCAGTACAAAAGAAGACTTAGTGTCCTAGTGGTTTCTCCTATTCCTGGTCTGAGAAATGATTGTTCATAAAATACATCTGCATATAGCCGATTAGTTTTAGAGGTTCAGTGAAAAGTCTTATAATTTCACAAATACTGTTACTTGTGACCCCTGATCTGCTAGAAACCTCATTAAAGTTTATTCTGAGGCTATAAGGACTTTCTTTTCCTTCTTGGTGAACAGATTGGTAATGCACCTCAGCTTAGAATAAGGCTTTTCTGTTTTACTGAAGCAAGAGGCTTAAAAGAGGATCTTGACTTTCTAGTCTTTTTAAGATCCCTAGACAGACTGATTTCTGTTAACTGTAGTTATTTTATTGGTAATCTTTTAACTCTTACTGTGAGGCACCCATAGTCTCTCCCTGCTAGAGCAGATTGTTTTGTTTCCACTAAAGGTCATAATCTTTCCATGAAGTCATCTTTCTAGCATTGGATAAACAAAGGTGTTAGAGACCCTCTTTTTATCTGATCTTCTACATTAGCTTTTGCATGTTGATTGATTGCAGAAACTGCATCCCCAATTTGAGAACCTCTTTATCCAAGGAGAGGAGAATTGTACTTTTAAATGTCCAGAATATTTGCCAGAGAAAGTCAAGGGATGGTTAGTTGGGGTCCTCAAAGCCATAGTGGCTCTTGATGATAAAAGTAACTATTTTCACCAATAATTAGGGGTGTCATCTTTTACTTTGACTCTCTTTAACTCATGGCAGGAGGGAGAGTAGCCATGTTTCATGCCACTTCACACCATGTTTCATGTGACTTTGAAATTTAGAGTCATTTTGGGTATAGATAGCGGAATTTATTTTGTCCACTGACTTATCTTGTTCTAAACTTTAAGCCTTGTTTCTTCTGTGTTGCATGTAAGTTTTGTCCTTAAGCATCATAGGAAAGATCTTCCAAATTTTCTGGACTGTGATTTAGATGAATTTCCTACCTTTATCCTTTTAATAATGGCTGGAGTGTGTTATTCTGAAGGTCTGCCACACAGGGAGGTCTCTTGATAAACTTTTGTGCCACTTCAACACTGATTGTTACCCCTACAGCGACTTAGCCATTTTTATTCTGTGTTGGGCAGGAAGATTCATGAGATTAAAGCCTTTAAATTTGATGAAGGTGGATAACCTGAAATGTTGTCTTGTTTGATGATACCTTGGTTAGCTGTCAGACTGAGTTAATTGTTGTCTTTTCCACTATTTCTATTTTGGTGTCTTGGCGGAACATTCCTTTAACTTTTTTCTCTAATTATATGTCTTTGGTTCACCAAACTAGTTATCCTGTTTACCCATTTCTTTGCTAGTTCCTTTTAGAGATTTTGTTTTTGTACAACCTACCTACCAGCTAGTCACAGTTATGATAGGGGAAAGCTTAGGTATAAAGTATGTATCTAGACTTTGTTTTTTACATACAGTTCTGAACTTCTCTTCCTGAACCTAGATTAGGAGCCTGTGATCTAAACTGTTTCAGTTTCAATATATCCTTTTTGTATGTAACTTTTCTAACTGCTTATTCCCAGTTTCCCATCCATTGGCCCTGGCTCATCTACACTTAGCTAAGGAAAATCTCTGGTGCCCTCTTAAATCTTAGCTCTGCAGTTCATTCACTGCCTTTCTGCTGTAGCTTCATCTGGTTGCTTTGAGATCCTTAAGGGCTCCCCACAAAGTTGGATGGACAGGGTCTACAGATCTAGTCTCCTTCAAGCTGGTCCTTGCTCTCTAGGTTTCTGTCTTCCTCTGTGACTTGAAACAGTACTGTCCTTGTCTTTTTTCTCCACTCAGCAATAAATAAAAGTTGAAAATACAGTAAATTTTACAAATTTCAAAGGGTTTTTTTTTTAATTGATGGCAGTTTGACTGAAATAATAGGTATGAGGTATAGGTGTCATAGTTAATAAGGTTCTTTCTCACCCTAGTCTTTACGGAGTAACATTCCCAAAACAATCCTTGGGCAGTTCCCTTAACTGCTTGGCTTTGGCACCCATTTCTGAAGAGAGTGGGGTCAGTTAACTCTTAACCCTGCTCCCCAAGAAAGGTGGAAGTTCAAGTTAATTGGCTTATGTCAATTGGAGCAACGTAACTATTATACCAGGTATATTCAGTTCCTGCCCTTACCTATGTTTTCTTATCTTGGAAGGGGATTGCTTTCCCTCACCATTTATCTCACCACAGCTTATTTGTTTTTAAAGTTGCCCAGAAAGTATACAAATTAAACTTTTGACATCTACGTGTAGGAATCCCGTTCTGCTTCCAGAAGTGGAAGTGCTCATGGATCTGGGAAATCTGCAAGGCATACCCCTGCAAGGTCTCGCTCCAAGGAAGATTCCAGGCGTTCCAGATCAAAGTCCAGGTCCAGATCTGAATCTAGGTAAGAAAGACTGTCTTGGGATTTTCTTGTTACTCTTAGCTTTCAAACTGGTGTGTGCTTTTGTAAACTAGGAAGATAGAGAGGGTTAGATCATTTGTTGGCTTATTTAATATTGGTATTAGAAATGAACTTAATTGTTAAGTTCTGGGAGATAGAAGACTAAGTGGCTAAGAGCCTGGGCTTTTGGTGTTAGGGTTCATATCTTACCTCTGTTTTTTTCTGGCTTGGGCAGATTACTTAACCTTTTCAATCTTAACTTCCTTATCTATAAAAGATGAATTATCAATAGTACCAGTTCTTCAGAATTGTTGTGAGGATTCACTGAGTTTACGTGAACTGCTTATTAGTATGGCAAAAAAAAAGAGTGCAGAGCATTGGCTTTTAGTAACTGCAATTCTTGATAGTAGTCTAATATGACAGATGTACTATAAAACAAAAAACCTTAACACAGCACCTTTTTTTTTTTTTTTTTTAATGTTCAAGTGTAGGCTATATATATATATCCTGGTTTGCCCAGGTCAGCCCCAGCTTAATGCCTATTGTCAGGCATAATTAACAGTGCCCCTTTTCTCTCTTACACTGTATTCTTCCTGGTTTAAATGACAGTTCATATGATCACTGTAGTTAAGAGCAACTGGTTGAATTTAAAACACTGCTGGAGAATACTGCTTGTAATGGTGATGTTATCATAAGTGAATAATGGGCATAATGCAAGAAGCTTAAAGGATGGTATTGTGAAGGGTAAAGGTGGGCACAAATCAGGCTAGTATGAAATGTTGCATGTTTTATGATTTTTAATAGATACTGTGTTGTTTAATCTCTTAATTATTTAAGAGATGATGGAAGGGAGCTTTAGTTAGTGATGGTTTTGGAACTCTTCCTAGCACAGAAATGACAATATACAAAAGAAAAGTATTGATCCCCCTATATACCTGGATTGTGTGTTTTACCTTTTGAAGCTTTACCTTTTAGAATAAAGTGTAGAATAAAGTGTTGAAAGAATTAAAAGCCATATCCTACTGTCAGCTATTTAGTCATAACCTTGAAGCCTTTGTCTTTCAGGTCTAGATCCAGAAGAAGTTCTCGGAGGCATTATACAAGGTCACGATCTCGGTCCCGGTCCCATAGACGATCTCGTAGCAGATCTTACAGCAGAGATTATCGAAGACGGCATAGCCACAGTCATTCTCCCATGTCTACTCGCCGGCGTCATGTTGGGAATCGGGTAAGATGAAAACAATTGTTTCTGAAGCAGTGAACATTGTAGGAAGCCACTTTATAATTAATGTATAATATATTCCCCTCTGTTTTTAGTATTTTCTTCTGTAATAATTTTAAACTGATACTTCTGATGGTGGAGCTTTAGCATGATTTCTCTCTAGATCCTTTTCGGCGTTTGGAGGTTTTTTTTTTTTCCATTTTAAAAGATAGCTCCCATATATGGTCTACATTTGAGCTGTTGATCATATTTAAGATACTGTCACATTAACAGCACATCAAATAAAAATTCTCTGCATTACGGTTAATATAGTTAGATCATGTATCTATGTTCCATACTATTGTTAGTTTTCTGGGTTTAATATGCTTTAAAATATGCTCTAATTTTCCCATTTAATTTTAAGCAAGTTTCTTTCCAGTTTTAAAGCTTTGCTTGTCTTCCATGAGAAGTTACGAATGAGATGGCATTTAGTGTGTTCCTGTTGTGGTTTTTATTGAATAATATACAAGTAGGTCTATAGGGAGTGTATGTTTTTGAAAGTGGGGTGGAATTTGACTGTAGTAAACGTATGTGCGAAATAGTGAAACCTTTACACAAACTCATGGCAACTGGGATGTCAGCAACATTTAGTTCACTATTTATCTTCATTATAATAATTGAAGCTGCTTAATATCTGATAAGTTTGGTACACATCTGTGGTTTCACTTGTATGTATATTTGAACACTTAACGATTTTTCTGTAGAAATCAAGCTGAACATACCTTCTGTATCTTTGGCAGGTTAGAGCCTTCTATTGTGTGAGTGGTATATGTTAGTTAATTCACCATTTTGAAGTTCAGACACAGTTCTCTGTGCATACATGCTTGTGGTGCTGACGTAACATTACTTTTAAAATTCTGTTTTATTTCATTGTTATCTTTTCATATTAGTGACAGTTTTGGGGGGTTTGATATGTGATGCTTTTTTTTTTTTAATTTTTATTTTTTATGTGATGCTTTTTAAAAGTTTTTTTTTTTTTTAATCCATTTTTCTATTTCTAGGCAAATCCTGATCCCAACTGTTGTCTTGGAGTATTTGGATTGAGCTTGTACACTACAGAAAGAGATCTAAGAGAAGTGTTCTCTAAGTATGGTCCAATTGCTGATGTATCTATTGTATATGACCAGCAATCTAGACGTTCAAGAGGATTTGCCTTTGTATACTTTGAAAATGTAGATGATGCCAAGGAAGTAAGTAAAAGTCTTGTACCTTTGTTTAAAAAAAAAAAATGTATATACACACGCTTTCACTTTTACACACACACAGAGTCTTATTTTTAACTATTCTTCCTTGGATGACTTTTGCTTTTAGTAAGTTGATCAGTCGTGTCAGACTCTTTGCAACCCCATGGACTATGCAGTCCATGGAATTTTCCAGACCAGAATATTGAAGTGAGTAGCTGTTCCCTTCTCCAGGGGACCCAGGAATCGAACTGGGGTCTCCTGCATTGCAGATGGATTCTTGACCAGCTGGGGAGCTACCAGGGAAGCCCTTTTAGTATCTGTGTAGCTTGATCTAAAGGAAATGCCTTCTGGGAATATATAACTAAAGTCCATAATTGGAACTTTAAATTTCAGACTTGTAGCATAACAGAAAAGTGACAGTTTGGTTCTAAATTCCAACTCAGTCTCTTCCACCATTTTATTTGAAGTAAATTCAAACACAGCTGTTTCCAGATGTGTGCCTAGATACAGATTTTCTAAAATAGAAGAATATTAATACTCCAGTTTGGGATATTTAATGAGTGTTTACATCAGATTACTTTAAAATGAAAGAAAACATGGAAAAGTGATAAAGCTATGACTCAGGAGAAAGGAACTGGTTTTGAATGTTTACTGGCAAGTGATTTTATGTTTTGGATGTTGAGGTAAAACATAGGAAGTAACTTTTTTTGGCCTTGAGGCTTATGGGATCTTAGTTTCCCAACCAGGGATTGAACCTGGGCCACGGGAGTGAAAGCACCAAGTCCTAAACAGTGGACCACCAGGGACCTCCCTAAAATTTTTTTTTTTACAGAAACTTAAAGTAAAAATTGGATGTGTGACTCCTGGCCCATTGAAGAAATTTGAACTTAAGATACATGGGGATGATAGTTAAAGTCATCTCCAAGGACAATATAAGGAGGAGAATCTGGAGAAACTAGTGGCAAGTCATCGGAGGTTAATATTGAGATTAATAATTTTGAGCTCTAAATAAAATTAAATGAATAGAGTAGGCCCATCTACTAAAGGAAGAATTAAAAGCTGAATGCAAGTGGTTATAATTTAAGAGATTTAAGGAATGCTTTAAGATGTCATTCAACTTCATTTTGGTAATAATTGATGTGAAAAATGTAAATAATATTTGTCCAAGCTTACTTATGGGATCGGCTTCTTGGTTTCTCTACTTTTTGTGTGTGTGCGTGCTACAGAACCATATTTCCCTTTTTGAAAGATTTTGTATCTAAATCAGTAATGCCAGAAACTGCCTTGAGGCTTAAAACAGTCAAAGTAGAAAATAGCATAATTGGAATTAGAAATCTAAATTCTATTTAGAGAGAGAGGTGCTTCTTTAAATTGTGAATAAACTACTATGTCTTTGGGATGGGGTATTTTTTTTTTTCTCAAAGTACAGTATTTTCACTTTAATGTTTTAGATGAAGGAACTATGCGTAATTCAAGCTTTCATCCCAGTTCTTTGCTTCCATAGCAGGGGTCCTCAAATTTGTGTAAAGGATTAGACAGAAAATATTTTGGGCTTTGGGAGCCGTAAGAGCTCAATGACAGCTTTTCAACACTGCCATTGTAATGTAAAAGCCATATAAAACGCAAATTAGTAAGTGGGGTTTTCTTTCAGTAAAACATGGTCATTTAATTTTGAATTTCATTTCTAATGAAATACTACTTTGACCCCCAACACCTGTTTAAATTCTTAGCTCATGGGTCATAGTTTGCCAACTGTGTACTATTTTATAGACCTACAGGTACTCAAATCTATAGTTGATACATATTTCATGGCTTAAGTCGGCTCTCATGGGTGGCTTTTTTTTTTTTAATGAACTTTTCTAGGTTAGCTTTTGTAAGTAAAGATTTGATAGGCAGAAAAACCTATTAATAAACTGTCAGATGTAATTCCCTGGCTAACTGGAACATCTAGTTGGGTTTTATTTATAGAAAATAGTTAATTTGGGGCTTTGTTCATGATGTATATAACAACTCACATATCTTTTGAAGGCAAAAGAGCGTGCCAATGGAATGGAGCTTGATGGACGTAGGATCAGAGTTGACTTCTCCATAACGAAAAGACCACATACCCCAACACCAGGAATTTACATGGGGAGACCTACCTAGTAAGTTTGTTTTCAAGGTTGTTAAAATATTGACAGTTCACTTTAGGGCACTGGGAGGCTTTTGACATTTCCAACTGACTAAAACTTAAATTCAGTATAAATATATTCAGTAGAAACTTTCGGTTGGTACCATAAATTCTGATGTCATGTAATGATCATATCCTACTTTAAGAAATGCCATATATTTGACATTGCTGGGTAATTAAATGATTCTCACCAGACCAGTTTTCCCACACTGGGAACTATTAAGTATTAATGTAGGTAAAACCAAGTTTGTATAAATCTTATTCACAGTGGCAGCTCACGCCGTCGAGATTACTATGACAGAGGATATGATCGAGGCTATGATGATCGGGACTATTACAGCAGATCGTACAGGTATGTTAACCAAAATACAAAGTTTTAAGTTGTTGAAAGACAAATCAGCTTTTCTGGTTCAGTTGCAACATAAAGCAGCACAGTTTTAGCCTTTGATAAAGGTATTTACCTTTACTATTAAATTGGAGATCACCAGAGTTTAAACTGGACTCATTTTTGGCTGCAGCTCAAGGCATGCATGCTAAGATGCTTCAGTTGTTTCCAACTCTGCAACCCTATGGACTGTAGCCTGCCAGGCTCCTCTGTTCTTGAGATTCTCCAGGCAAGAATACTGAAATAGGTTGCTAATGCCCTCCTCTGGGGGGCAACTCACAGCATGTGGATCTTAAATTCCCCAATTAGGGACCAAACCTGTGCCCCTACAATGGAGTCTTAAACCACTAGACCACCAGGGAAGTCTCTGGATTTTATGGTTATACTTTTTTTTTTTTTTTTTTTTGGGTATGTGTATTTTTTATAAGCACCAAGTTGTCAACCAATGGGACAATAAAATTATAGACCATACTTCAGTCCCCTCCCCCATGAACTGATTTTAAATATTGCTTTATAAAGCAATTTTTTGGTAGCTGAGGAATTGTGTTGAAGGACAAGGAAAATTGATTCTTGGAAAAATCTAAAGAAGTAACTATAAGTTTGCTATAACAATGGTAAGAGGTTTATTATTAATACTAACAATATTGATACATTTTTCAGGGGTTGATAGGGAAAGGCTCATGATACTAGGAATACTTTGGAAAGTAAAAATGAAGTAAAGTTCTCTATTTAAGCAATAGCAGGTAATTTAGATCTTGCGTTGTTTGTCAAAATGCAAACTGTGTAGTAAATATACTGACCATAACAGTTAATCCATGATACCCTATTTGGTGGTGAGCCGTCTTTTTTGCACACTATTCTGTAATTTTTAGAAGTTTACAGTCCTGACATTTAGCACTGACAAACTTTCTTAAGTGGCATTTTTGTACTGACATGTAAGGGATTGATTTGTGGAGGCTGCAAAGATTAGTCTTAAGAGTACTTACTCTATGATGCTCATTTTAACCACCAGGGAGAGCTCTGTCAGTTTGTAAAGGGGTGGCAAAAGCAACTCTTCATTGCTTAAAGAAAACTAGCTTTCACTTATGTTTTAATTTTAGTGCATGAATTGTGCATTTTGAAAACTTAAAATGTTTGTTTTCTGCCTTCACAGAGGTGGAGGTGGAGGAGGAGGAGGTTGGAGAGCTGCTCAAGACAGGGATCAGATATACAGGTATGGCCAGGAAAAGATTTAAATCTGTACAATAGTAGAATGGATCACATAAAGACATTTGTTATTCATATTTTGATAAATTATAAGTGGCATTCACAAAATTTTATAACAAGTTTATAAAAATACTGTAACTGAAGTCAAATGACAATGTACATGGCTTAATTTGTTTTTAACATGAGAGATGATGGCATAAACTAAGAATCATTCAAGTTTATCTTAACGAAAAAGTAAATCACTGAAGCACTATGGATGAAATTTTGGGTATTCATTCATAGGGTGTGGTTAAAACTAGTGGTAATGATTTTTTTCTTCTCTAACCCAGTTTAAATTTGTTAGGTGTAATGTTAACTAGCAGATGATCAGTGGGTCAGATAGAGCAAGGAATATTCAACCTCTTTGATAGAGGAGTTTTTTTGGTACTGATAATGTGCTTCATTCTCAGGACTAAAACAGACCTCACTACTGCAGTGTTATTGGTCAGCTGAGAGTCTTTTAGTTTTAGAAACTGATAAAGGAATCAGTCACTTTAATATGTGATCTATGGAGTCTTAACATGGTCTTGATACTTGTTTACAGAAGACGGTCACCTTCTCCCTACTATAGTCGTGGAGGATACAGATCACGTTCCAGATCTCGATCATACTCACCTCGTAAGTTTTTATTTTGATATAATAGTGTGGCTTGCTATGACTTACGGAAACCAAAGCAGATAATGGGTTGATTCAGTTAGTATTTCCTCAATTTTTCTGTAGGGTTCAAGGAAGTATGTGAAAACAACCCTTGGATCTTAGTCTTGTTGCTAATTAAAATAGTGCATGTGTATTCTCTCACCATTTGTAGCTTTTCTTTTTAGGAATTAAATTTTTTTTAAAGTTTAGAAACATTTTTGAGTGATTTAAAAACCTTAGCTTTCAGATTGAGTTAGATAAAACTCCCAGCTATTTCTGTTTAACATTGGTTCTGCACTATGTGAAGGTTTTCACAACAGAATCTGATACATAGGAATTTCCTTATGACAGAAAAGTTTAAAATTCCCAACATTAAATGTATGCACTTGAGTATTGAAGTGTATTTGTTTTTTTCCTAGGTCGCTATTAAGGCATGAAGTTGAAGACTTTCTGAAACCTGCCCTAGAGTTGGGATATTGTTTGTGGACAATATTTTTTATTGTCTCCTGTTTAAAAAGTGAACAGTGCCTAGTGAAGTTAGGTGACTTTTACACCTTTTATGATGACTACTTTTGGTGGAGTTGAAATGCTGTTTTCATTCTGCATTTGTGTAGTTCGGTGCTTTGTTCAAAGTTAAGTGTTTTCAGAAAAGTATGTTTTGCATGTATTTTTTTACAGTCTAAAATTTTGACTGCTGAGAAGTTTCTATTGTACAGAACTTCATTTAAATGGTTTTTCTACTGAATCCAGGGTATTCTGAAGATCGAAGCCTGTGTGTAAAATGCTACCAAATGGCAAAAAGCAACAATAAAGTTTGGTTTTTACTTTTCTTTCTAACATATCAATGCTTAGCAGAACTGTTCAGATTAGATTGTTAGTAGTAAATTAAAGACAAAAATGCCCGTTTTCCTCCAATCCATGAAACATACCATACTTAATATACCTGCAATTAAGTGATAAAAATTACGCTCTGTAACTCTATACTGCTAGTGTTAAAAACTAAAGATCTTTCAATACAGCAAATGCTTACTGCTTATATAATGTGAATTTGTCAGCCTTTATGTAATCTGTATTATATATAGCAGGGAATAAGATGAGTTACACAATGTATGCCTTAAGGCTATTTCTTAAAGCTGTTACAAGGGGATAATGGTATTTCAGTTATCAGCAGTGACAATACATTCCACCACAAATGTACTCTTGTTCTTCTAGCTTTTAAGACTATATGGAAAAACTGGGTGCTTCAGAGTTTTTGAGAAAAAAGAAGGGAACACTACACCTGTGTTGTGGATGATCTGAAGACTTTGCCTGTTCATTTTTTAAATATTACTTTCAGGTCCTTTGCTTACCAAAGGAGGCCCAATTTCACTCAAATGTTTTGAGAACTGTGTTTAAATAAATGCAAATGAAAAGAGTAAAAAGGCTGGTAAAACTCAGTTTATAGAGATTTTGTTTTAACCTTGCTACATAGAGTTCTTTTATAGTTTGTAGTCCCTTATACAGTATTCCTTGGACTAAGATGTATTCTTTCTGTTGTTAAAATTGTTTTAAATAGGTAAATTTTGTACTCCTGGAAAATACATTTAAAGTAAGTAACCAGGTATTGGAATGAATATCTCCACTTGGGGATGGTATTATATTAAAATATTCTCCACACTTGCCCTGAAGGTGCCTGAAATGAACATTTTTCTAGGATATTTTCATGGTTAATTCTAGGCAGGTAAATAAGTTGGTTAGCCTGCTGACCCTTGTATTATTACTTACATACAAATACTCTGTCCCGTGTACTTGAAGGGCATGGCAACCCACTGCAGTATTCTTGCCTGGAGAATGCCATGTATAGAGGAGCTTGGAAGACTACAGTCCATGGGGTAGCAAAGAGACATGACTGAAGCGACTGAGCACAATACCCTTAGCTGCATCAATCATAATGATGTAGTAATTTACCTTAGGTCAAAAAGCAATTAAAATACCAATGCCAGGATCTGAACTTAACCATGTGAACTTAATCTGTAGTCTGTGCTGTTAATCACAATGTCATTTAATCTGGGTATCCAACTGAGACCTAGACCTGATGGACTGCAGCAATCCAGACTTCTCTGTCCTCGACTATCTCTGGAGTTTGCTCAAATGCATGTCCCTTGAGAGCCCCCCTGTCCTTTTGTCTTCAGTCTTTACTATCAACAAGGCCTTTCCCAGTGAGCTGGTTCTTAGCATCAGGTGGTCCAAGTACTGGGATCAGCATCAGTCCTTCCGATGAATATTGAGGCTTCCCTGGTGGCTCAGTGGTAAAGAACCTTCCAATGCAGTTTCAATCCCTGGGTTGGGAGGATCCCTTGGAGAAGGAAGTGGCAATCCACTCCAGTATTCTTGCCTGGGAAATCCTGTGGTTAGAGGAGCCTAGCAGGCCCCAGTCCATGGGCTTGCAAAAGAGTTGGACACGATTTAGCGACTCCGTGATACATAAGACACCCTAAATCCCAAATTCTTTAGCCATCCTTTGCATTGAGAGTATTTCAGCAAAAAGTGCTTGCACAACACTAATCAATAACCCTTAACCCCAAGAAGCAGGGGCAGTAGCAAATTGAATTAGAGTGGGTAGGTGATAGCAATATGTGAAATGGGTGCAGGGGTGGACCTGAGGAGTGGAGAGGTTCTGTCTCTAGCTGAGATTCCTTGTCTAGTGTTGACAGCAGTGGGATAGGCTGTGGTGTTCAGGGTTTGGCAGTGGTGATCACCTCACTGAACTGACTTCGTGGTGTGGCTTTGGCTGTTAAACTTCCTTCGTAGCCCGGTTCTTTCCTCCTGCAGTTTACAGACTTCAAATATTCTTAAAAACGGACCATCCAAAACTGTCTATCTGCTTGTCATCTGGCATTTTTTCAGTTTACAGTGTTTACAGTCAAAAGTCTTGACAAACACTCCTTGTCGTTCGTGATGCCTAATTGGTAGCCATCTATCTGATAATCGTAAAAAAAAAAAAGCTCTTTGCTTCAGTCTAAATGTGCTATTTGAATTTAAAAGTTATCAAATGATTTCTGGTTTTTAGTTCAGCACATAAGAGCTTGGAAGTCACCTTTCCATCCTAACAAGTAAAAAGCTAAACAAAAAGTCAACAGCTGTTTTTAGATTCATAAGAGAGGTAAGGTCATGGGGCAAACTGCTGCCTCCCAAACTGGAGACAGGCAAATAAAATCTCAACATACTGGAGCAGAAACCCACAAGTAGAAATCTGGAAAGAAAAAAAAAAACAAACTACGGCCATAAGGGAATTCTCAGTTCTGTGAGCTTTGCCAGCTCAACTAATTTTTCAGTGAATGTTCGGAAGTCCTCTTATGCTGTCAGAGGGGGAGGAAAAGGAACCACCATGAGATTCCACCAGAGCTTCTGTACCACTTAAGATCTGGTCCCAAGAGAAACTAACCAGAGCCCAACGTGCTGGGGTTTTATCAGAGCCTCACTGACCTGGAACAGGGAAATACTCAACTCTAGCTCACTCGCCATCCTGTCCCACCTAAAGGGTAGGAGGAGTTGAGGGAGGAGGAGGATGTCCAGAAGCACTTTAAAAAGTTTACAGACAGAGGCACAAGCACAAAAAGATACCAATCATAAGAGTATAAACCTTACCCATACGTTATGCACACATTTTCTGAGTGTATTATGTCCAGCTAACACCAAAAAAAAAAATTAGAAGGCATATTAAAAGCAAAATTGACGGTTTGGAGAGTAAGCATTAGAACCAGACAGGGATATGGCAGGGATGCTGGAATTAGACTGGGAATTTAACTGATTAGCATGCAGAGAACTGGGATGGATAAACAGCATGCAGGAACAGATGGGCAATGCAAGCAGAGACATGGAAATTCTAAGAAATCAAAAAAATGCTAGAGATAAAAAAAAGGATGCCCCTACCAGTCTTATTAACAGGACATAGCTGAGCTTAAGGAATTCATAGAAACTGCCAACCTAGAAGAAAAAACCATGTGATAATTGCAAAAGGTATGGCTCATGTCATGGCAGTACTAAATGGAGAAGAGAAGAAATATTTGAAACAGTAATGGCAGAGAATTTCCCCCATGTTAATGTCTGACTTACAGACTGCTGTGACTGTGTGCTTTCAGTAAATTGAAGCTTAATCCCTGATGTCATGTTACTTGAGTGTTAGGCCTTTGGGAGGTTATTAGGTCATCATAATGGGGAGCCTTCATAAATGGGATTAGAGTCCTATAAAATAGACACCAGAGAGCTCCCTTGCTCTGCACCATGTGAGCACACAGTAAAAAGATGACTATGAATCAGGAAGTAGATCCTCATCAGACACAGTCTGCCAGTGTCTCCATCTTGAATTTCCCAACCTCCAGAATTGTGAGAAATAAATTTCTGTTGTTTATAAGCCACCCAGTTTATGATACTCTGGTTAGAACAGGCTGAATGCCAGACCACAGATCCAAGAAACTCAACAACAAATGAGTTGAGAGAATCACTCCCCCTCCCCCCAGTTAGAATTCTCTGCCTCATGAAATTATCTTGCAAAAGTGAACACTAAAGACTCTAGACTATCAAAATAGAGCGAATTTGTTGCTAGTACACTTGCCTAGCAAGATAAGCTCCAGAGAGAAAAGGAAAATAATCTAGATACTCATTACATAAAGGAAAAGCATCAAAGGATTAAGGAAAGGTAAAGTTTTTTTCTTTTACTGTGACTGAACTGAACATTTTGTTGAAAATAATAGCAACAGTACTATTTGATTAACTGATTATGTATGCTTATATGTGTCATATTTACATATGCTTATAAAAATAGAATGACAGGAATGATAACAAGCAGTTCTAGAGAGGAATTAGAATCACTTTATTAAAAAGTGTTCACAGTACTGGTGAAGCAGTAGTGTTACTTTCAAGTGGACAAATTTGTTGTATATTGCAAACAAGGATAACTTTTTTAAAACGAAGTATAACATATGCTAAGAAAGGAAAGAAAATACAAATTTAAAAATATTAAAGCCACAAAAAGAACAAAAATAAGAACAAAGAACAAGTATAACAAAAAATAGTAACAAATATGGAAGATATTGATTGAACGATAAGTTGTGTCTCTTTGCAACCCCATGGACTATGACCCACCAGGCTCCTCTGTCCTTGAGATTCTCCAGGCAAGAATACTGGAGTGGGTTACTGTGCCCTCCTCCAGGGGATCTTCCCCACCCAGGGATCGATTCTATGATCCCACATGCGGTATCTTCCGTGACTTCTGCACTGGAGGTGGATTCTTTACTGCTGAGCCACCAGGGAAGCCCAGTGGTATGAATACACACATTAAAAGACAGAAAATGTCAAAGTGGATCACAAAACAACCCAAGTATTGTCTGCCCTAAACCCATATATAGATTAAATGGATGGGGTCTTCCCTGGTGGTTTAGTGGCTAGGCC